GGAGCGGGTACCGGCACACAGTGAAATTAATCAGCGGCAGATAGAAAGTCGTCACAGTAATAGATATTGGATTTTGATGATTTAGTCAGCATTCTGAACATGGAGGGATCACTTATGGTGGTACATTTTTCATGAAAGTGTTTTAGGAAACAGTAAAAAGGTAAAGCTATCTCAATGGAAACGCTTGGCCGTCAGAAAAAAAAAGATGACAAACCCGGCCAATATCCTGCAAGCCATCTGCATGACAGCAACACACACACACATAACACATGATGGGGACAAAAGTCAAAACAAGTACAAATTTGGACGGGCAATTAACAAGCCAATAAACCAACGGAATGATACAAAACAAACCTCGCGATGATGGTGCGTGGCGGGCACAGACGCGCTCGACCCTTTGGACTTCGGATGTCCACACTGCAGAGCGGGTGCGATACGGCAACTTACCGGTCTTGCGTGGGGGATGGGCACTGTTGGTAGCTAGGGATTATGTATGCAATGAATACCGAAGTCTTTAAGATATCGTCTGTTCATATAGACTCTCCAATTAAAAAGTAGAACACTAATAAGCAAGTTGGCTAACAAACGTCGTGGAAAGCTCCTTCGAAGCATAAATTGAATCGTAACGAAAAGTATACTTATGTTTTTAATAACTGAATTTGATGAAAACTGTTTTCTTTCCTGTGCATTAGGCCCGTTTGAATCACGTAAAGCTTTTTGATTAATTTGACACCCTATAAACTGATGAAAACTGGAATTTTAAATTAAAAATTTGTGTTCGTGACATGTTCAGAAACATGGTGGATGCTGATCTTTGGCATGTTCATTGTGTGGAGATAAAAGCGTGTTTGGCCACAGTATTCGCGGGTTGCGATTTTACCCCAGCGTTCACGAACGACGAGGATCATACCAACCTCTTGGTTTCTTAGTAAAAGGAACAAATATGGCCGAAACGCGAACTTACTCCAGATAAGAAACAGGTTAAATCTGGACGTCACCTGCAGGCAAAAACAAGAAATAAAAAATGATTTTATTCCAATGGCAGATTACCACTACCAGATGATAAAATTAAATGAGCCTTTTGCAAGGCCTATCTCTATCCAGCCAGCCAGGCGTTCCGTTTTCGTATCCATCAGTTTATCGATCAACTAACATTGTCATAACCACACACAAGAAAAATTTAACCACTTAATGAAAATTGACGTGCTAATTTGTCATACAGAAGCGTTGGTTGACCGGAAAATCCTCTCATTGTGTGCTCAAACACGCGCTCAGTTGTCCCAATTCCAGGCTGTCCATCCCCAGCCAACAGTGAACCCACAAGTTGAACAACAAAACGTCTCAAATCAAATTGTGGGTTTTAATTTGGTCGAATGCTTGTCTAACGCTCGGCCCAGAGCGGGGCTTATTGTTAGCCCGAATACCCTTTTGTATCACCACTCCTTCTTACGACTTTGGTGTCAATAAATTGTTTGGGGGATTGGTGCACAATGAGGTTTGTTGTGGAACTCGACTGAAAGGGATTTGGTCAACACCACGAAAATGGTATTGACCGACGAAGATTGCGGACGGCACCGGGAAGATCCAGGCACACATACCGCCGGCCTGAGCGGCGACGGAGTCCCTGTCCACATTGTTTGCCTCAAGCAGGCACAGGGCGCCAACGATCAGTCTACCGGTTCATTCCGGGGGATGTTATTGGGGGTGACTAATCTCCGGTGAGACCCACCTGACCGACCCGTTATCGGCTACTCTCTGGGATAAATCGAAAGGTCGTAGAATTGTTCTATTCGTTCATGTTGGGCAAGGTCTGGCCCAAACGATCCTGTTACGTATCGTTTAATCACTCCAGTCACGGCCTGGCCCTAAATACCCGTAATTCTAGCTAATCCGCCGCTTCTAACGTGTGTTACACGACTGACGGGTATCACCACACGTTGAAGTAAATATTTGAGACAGTGCATGGAAACGCCTTTCGAAAGGTTTGTGGTGTGTTTTTGTACTCATAGATACCTCGTGATGTCGTTTTCATTCTGCAGTTTTTGCATTGTAAAAAACAAAACTACTTCCATTCTGCATGATTTTAAACTGAGGTCGGTTTGATGCCGTGAAAACATTTATTTGCCACATACTCTTTACCTCTGTGAATATTTTTGTCAGTGTGTTTTCATAGTTTATAAAGTGGTTTAATAATTATTATTTGTGTTATCAACAACATCTGGAGTAGTTACAACATTTCACTATCAAGAATGAAAACATCCAACGTTCTGAAAGTGTCAACACGAGAGGGCGCATTCTGTCGATGAAAATATGTGACTTGGTTACTCTTTCACGGGCCAGCATCATCAGTTTCGATTCCGCAAAGCGTGCGCTGAGCAGCCTTTGACTGACAGAACGAAACCGAAGGAAATGACACGAGGCGAAGATGACATGAATTGAGCTAACGACAGATGTTTAAATTAAAAAAAGAGGTGCTTTAATCAAACAAAGCCAAATGGAACTATTTTGAGCTAGGATGAAAACAAAAAGTCAATTCACAGCAAAGGAATTAACTGAGGATATAAAACTGTGCTTTGGCTCTTTGAATGAGGAGTATAATATGTTATTATTTCAAATACGAAAGATATCTTTTATAACGATCCATTTTTGAAATTATGTTGAATTAATCAGTCAATATTAAATACACAAAACTGGTAATTACATTTTGCCAATATTTTCATTTGAATCACCATTCAATTATGAAAAAGGGAAATTTCGAAAATCGTTTTCATTGGCACAGGTTGGGCTACATTGTCTTTTTGACAGCACACCGGAATTTAGCCGTCCAGCCTGTACCATAAAATATGTTTTCTTTAACTAGCAACAATTTTTTTGTTTAAGAGAAAATTAACTAGACATCATTATGATGCCGAGTTAGTCCCCGGTTCTTCTTAGAACCACACATACTCAAGAAAGAGATTGATCCATGGTGTAACCGCAATCGTTTGACTCATATAGTTCTTTCACCATGAAAACTTTCAAGTCTTATCTATCATTATGATTGCAAAAAAATTATTCATTTGGAAAATGCTATTGGCCTCCCGTAAAATTGTGTGGAAATTATTCTGAAGGTCTGTTCAAATAGACAACACAGTGTAACGTCAAAATCTTAGTTTTCGAAAATTGTTTCCCTTGGAGTTCAATTAATCAGAGTTTATTGTTTTGACATACTGAGGGATACAACCAACCTGGAAATATATTTTGTTCCCCTTTTCCAAACCCCGTTACTTTAAGAAGTAGGAATTCGTAAAAGCAGACCCGAAGGAATCCTTGCTTTGCGTCACGAGTCTCAGTGTAGTCTTGGTCGTATGAATTTTCATCATATCCGTGAATTTACAACCCGCTGAAATCCTGGCACATGCACAGCACCCCGGCAACCGTAACACCCCAACTTGCCATTGTTCCATATTTACCCAGGCCAATCCATACTTGTACATTGTACCCGAATTGTTGGCGGGCGTAGAGGAGGGTAGGTCGTCCGATAAGGGGTTGTTTTTTCGGGTTGTTTGTTCCGTCCGATAAGGCGAAGCCTCCCCCTTGAAAGATGGAGGTTAGGGATCAGGGTTGGAACTCACGGCATGTGATGGTATGCAACTGTAAAAAAATCCTTCGATCAGGTGAGATAGTAAATTACCTCCTCAGACAAATGTAAAGTCCCCCTCCACTCCCCCCCCAAAAAAAACAAAAGTGAGAGAAAATAGCGCAGTTTCATTTAATATGCATACTATTTCTGTCGCCGTTAATTAATCAAAACAGTGGCTTGAACTTTAGAGATTTTTCTTTAAAAATGGTTCATCAAATTTACTTGAATAACCAAACTGTGGATGTGATTACTTCGTTAAAATACCTGGCCAACACTTTATTAACTTACTTTTGAAAGAGTTGTTGTTCTGTTTCCGTTATATCACCGGGCGACCCTTGTTTTAATAGATTACAATGTGATTCTCAGCAAGCATGAATTCTAACAGCAGTACAGAAAGGACATAAGGCAGTTTACTGAACAACTGGACATGCTGTCCATGAAGCTGCTAGACTGTGGCTGCAACATTATGTATTTATTGAAGGAGAGATAGTTCAGCGGATAAAAATGACCCATTCAATTCTGTCTTTCTACAATTCAACCGGGACTTTTGATCGAGAGGAGGATACACGTTAATTAGATAAACAACGAACTCCGTGACAGACTCTTCGGTATGTTTCGACTGTTTAAAAAAAATATACATCACGACGAAAGAATTCGGGACTGTGGTCAAAGTAGCTGGCGAAATGCTGATTCTTTGATGAAGAAAGCAAAGAGATAATTGCATTTCGAGTCGACATAATTTGCTTCTGTACCGGCACAGAGACCAAACTGCTGGGCAGGTGAAACGCTAAAATCATCGACTTTCGGCAAAAGAGGGGAAAAATCACCGCGGCATGGTTTATTGAAATCTTTGAGGGGGAACAGACCGGGTGCGGATGATATGGTCACCGGGGACTCCACGCACTGGGCCCGGCAAAGAAGCTCGCATGACGGTCGATTTTTGTGCGGACGCAATCCGGCGGAAATACAACCGGACTGATTAGCTTATGTTGTGAGCTCGGAGCGGCTCGTTTGTAGTTGGAACAACATGAACACAGTTTTGCGGGTTGCCGGCCCGATTTCTTGGCGGGACCCCTGCCTTTCCTCTGTGACGGCGGCAATCTGATTGTTAACCGAAGTGGAAGGACTACAATTGGGACAATTTTCCAGAATTTTCACGCGGCTGATGTGCCGCGAATGGACCGGCTTTCCAATGTTAGGTGACTGTGCATTTCGGTGTTATTTGTGAAGTTGGCCGTGACAGACACAAAAAAGAAGTCTGACAATGTGTGAGATCGAAGTGTTAATAGAAAAAACATCTGCCAACCGCTCATTTGGTAAATTTTGTCCTTTGAAAAAGAGTACTCATTTCACGCCATGATTTTGTCCTTTTTTGCAGGGCCGGGGTGTCTGTGAAAAATGTAAATCACCGGAGGGAGTTTCATTGTGCAGTTTCACCTGATACCAGTAACATTGCTGAAGAGGCCGTAGTACCATGACCGCGCATTGGAAAGTGCCCGTTAACTGTTAGCAGACAAAGTGCGTCTATATCTATACGGCCGAAGGCGACAGGAGTTTGCACGGCATGCATCGACGATGACAGCAATAGGTCTTCTCAGGTCAGCCAAGCATAACCTTAGCCCGTCAACATCACCGAGACTTCGCTTTAATTGCTTGTACTCTAGCCGTCAGTTCATATTTTCTTTCCTTTGGATGGTTGGTAAATAGTTATATAAAGCACTTGTATGGGTGTGTGCATTTGTGTATCATGTCGCGCGTTTTTGTTTGAGTGTCTAAAGTTTGTGTAACAACTTGTTTTCTCAAGTGCACCCGTGTTATGTACCTTTACGGCAGATAAACCACCAAATAAGTGTTTATCGAGCACACAAGCATCTATGTGCATTTACTGATTACATTTGTGTACATTAAAAGTTGACTTCCAACTGATGGTATACGCATGACAAATTTACATCAATAAATATGCATTGCCATCACATTCTGCATTTGTTTAGAACTCCAGAGACACACCGTACGCCCGCGAAAAGTATATATGCCCTATGACAACTTTGTCTGGACTGCAGGTATATATGTTCTCGGCTGAATACAAATTTAGAGAAGAGTTGGATAACGCGAACGGGTAAACGCACGGGGAGAATGGTAGCCGTCTCATTTCTGGTTCAGCCAGGCTCCCAGGGCAGAGACGCAGGCGCAGCGATGGCAAAGCCACAGTGCGATCCCGACGCCGCAGAGCCTCGAGGACAAGGTTGAGCCTGTCAGAGAATCTCCGTACCGTGGGGAGTAAGAGATGCGACAGAGGGGAAAAAATGTGACACGGAAAGGCAATTAGCAGCGGTGCTTTTAATCTGTCGCGATTAAGGGAATATTTCCCCTCGGTTTCATTCCTCAAGAGGTTGGGTGATGAAGACGCGACTCCTGAAACAAGCGCTGCGCATTAGTCGGGGCATGCATACCTACCTCCAGGCCCTGGCACCACCCCGGACAGTCGGGTCCCTATTAAACCGAGCGGCTAATCAAATCAAGGGGGATCCTTGAAAACAATGGTGATTCAATTAGACAGGCTGGCACGATGAGCCGGAATTAGAAGGGCTGTTTGCTCTCGATTTTATACAGCCGGGCAGTCCAGTTGAATGAGTCTGGGTTTTTAAAGTATTTTTCCCTGACAAAATATGGCAAATTGTTGCCATGTTTAGATAAGTCATCAAGCGATGGAGAGATGCATATGCACCCTGGGGCTTGGACCGTGAAACTTCTTGAAAACTGGGTTTCTGTTTGCACCGGCTTTCCTCTTGCGCTCAACATCCCTGCATTGCCCTGCCCGACATTTTGTAAATGTACCAAGTTCATTGTAGGTTTTTATCGTATTGGTAAACGGAACTGAAGTTCTGATGCAGTAATGTTCGGATAACACAGTCGTTATCTTGAATGTCTTCATCTGATAGGCATGCGAAATTTATTTCAGTGTTTGGTGAAACGACTTACGAGCAATTTTCGCACGGCACCTTCTTCATGATCGTCAACAAGTTCCATCAATGCATGTAATACATGGTATTTGAGACAGTTTTTCGGAAGTTTTGTGGATGTTGTGTGAAATATGTTGAAGCGATTAAATTCCGCTGCAGATGCATGTCGTCGGTAGTGATGGTCTCGATTTATTTGTGTCATTTGTAATCTAACATGGCTTTTCTAAATTCTCCTTTCAATCGATTTTACCTCCGCCTGATTCCGTATACCTCTCCGCCATCTAAATCGCGTTCCACTAAGTACATGACCCCCAGCTGGTTCCGTTGAAAAACGGACATTTTGTATGTAACTCTCCGGAATTTGATGTGGGTGAAAGACGTGGGGGGAACGGAAATCCCAAAATCCAAAACAAAAACCTCCAAAATAACAAAACAAAACCAAGAAAATACTGGCAAGCGGGCTGCAAATGGATTTAATCCCTATTGTGTTTCCACGCATAGCTGATTATCCTATTATGATATTGATAAAGACGACTGGAATCATTACGTTTGTAATGTTTCCTCTGACTTTTAAAAAAATATTTCTGTACAAACTCCTTGGGCAAAAGACACTTATACGGCCTCAAATATAAGGACTTAGTTATATATGGTCTAAGACTGTCTATCTCCAGTAGTCTTTATCTCCCAGCTATAGTCACAATGCCCCTGTTTCTAGATATTCGGATAATACCAGTAGACATTTGAAGCAAGATATGAGACGGAGAAACCCCCCCCCCACCTTTGTGTTGGTCATTGTTTGATCGGAATCTCAGTAATTCTTTACAGACTTCTAGGGGGGATGTGTTAGGTAACAATAGTCTAGAATGTGTATAGGGATTTGATAGGTAAGGGGGGTACCCCTCCGTCCCATATCTTGCCTGGTTTACCAGTAGAAGTCACACAATCTGCGCATCGAATTTCCCCCTTGTTCAGTCAATACCCCTTTCGTTACCTTTCTGCCTTAGCCGCCAATTTCACAGTACCCTCTTATCCATTCCTCTTTCCTTCAACCTCTCCCCCCACCCCTCCACCATCTCTCACAAAACCTCCGGGGTCAGTCCCTCGAATCCGCCCTAGCTTTCCATCCCCACACCCTCCCTCCCTCATTCTCTCACCCCGTCTGTCTCCGTCATTTGTAATCAACCCCGGCCTGCCACTCATCAGAGCGGTGTAACCCTTTGCTATTTGTTCATCGACTACAGCCCGTGAAAGCTCGGTCCGATTCGACCTGATGGGGTAGTAAGGTTTTTTTTTGTTCCGTCCTCCATTAGACTAAGAGTTGTGGGTCTGCAAGCGTGGGTGGCTCATCGCATTAGCGTGACTGACCCGTCGATGAACCGGCTGTTTTCACGACTGGGCCCCATTTAATATCTCACCCAAACCCCTCGTACGCGCTTTGCTGTGTAATGAAATAAAAGCTAGCGACTAAGATTATCGAAAACTTTTCCCTAGAAGGGTTTTTACAGCTAGAACCTTGCATGGCGAGCCGGTTGCCGAAACTAAAATACCCCCCTCCCAAAGGAGCACTCAAAGTTCGTGAGTTCTAACATGAGGACATTCTGATTGATCCATCAACATAGGTATGTATTTAATGGGATTTCCACGGTTAAAATACATTTGGTTCCTTTTGTACAGATCTCAGCCATGAATTCTCATTTGAAAGTGAACAAAAAAAAAAACCAGGAAATTGAACAAGTTACGATATTTGACCATGTAAAAACCTTTAGAAAAGTTTGTGCATGAATTCAAATAGGCTTACAATTTAGGGGCAAATATGTAAAGAGGGCTGACGTGTTTCTGTCTTGTAGCATGAACTTTACTGACAATACTCTTCATTCTGCAAATCGTTTGTAAGTTAATATTGCATTTCCTTCATTGTTTTAAAGCTGTACAAGTCAAACAAGCTTTTCAAAGCGAATAAGGATATATGTAATTATATGCATTATATTGTGTTATATTGTGTATAATGCGGATTTTACACGCGTTTTGGGGTCGTCCTGTCCGTAATATCCGACCTTTTCATTACCCGCTGTAGTTGAATTGGTGCTGTTTAATATTTTTGCATTACATTTTTCCTATTACCCAATAACAAGTTTTAAGAAGAATTGAGTGTGTTTAAAACAAGGATCATTATAAAATGAAAATGTGCGAAGGGGGCTGTTGGTAATCATGTAATAGTCGACACTTGCACCATTATTCATAATGTCAAAACCAAAATCCAAAAACCGAAATTGTGTTTATTCCCTTTAACAATACATGTCCAGCATTATCAATATTGGAAAGCTTCCTTTCGGACGACTTTGCACGCAAAGCGACAGCGGTTGATTCACTAACAACTTCCACCTCCTCCTCTTTGCCCAGTCACCATTTTCCCATACAACTCGCCATAATCCAAAAGTGCCGAAAGAGGGCACTCTAAGTTGTCAAATACCACAGCATGCAAAAACACCCTAATGTTTCCATTTCTTGTCTTCATGTGCTCACGTCGTTACATCTTTCGACGGTTCCTCAACCCGGGAGAGAGAAAGAGAGAGAAATCTTTGTAGTCGTCAATCGGCCAACAAAATTATTTGTAAATTAGATTTGTTGCGCGGTAGAGTCAACTTGTCCAGTGGGTTGAATAGCAAATGATACTGAGAGATGTTGCGCCATGTATGCAGGATGCGGACAGTAACAAAAATCTGAGTTTTGGACTAAGGGGAAATGGGAAATATAGGCACAGTGGTGATCACCGAAACGATTCCTTCCCTAAACTTGAGAGATTCTGGACAGGCTTGGTTTTAGATTTGAGGGGTTGGAGAATGTTTTGAAGGTATAAATAACTTGTTCTAAAGGATTATGTCCTTTAGATGCTTCCAAACAATTTTCAAGAAATTACTGGAACTTTGGGGGAGCTTTGCAAAAATGTTGAGGAATTCAAAGAAAATGTCATGCATCAAACAGCAGGGCCAAATGTTTGCGTCGTTTGGAGTAAAAATTGGGCAGCATCCCCTCCCTAAAAGATTCGTCCCCCGGTGTAGACGTGAACATTAAATTTAAATTGATTTCACGAGGGCATAAAGGTGCAAAGTATTCAACTCAGTACTTTTCTTCTGGGGAAAATTCCAGGTTCGAATTTCTCTCCATAACCGCCGCGACAGCTGTTAGGCGCCATCTAGACAGAGGCAAAAGAATTCCCGATTTCCAAGTCAGAGGTTGACAGGGGAAAGCTTCGGAAATCGCATCTGTGGCTCCCCCCCCCAGTTTTCTGTGGTTTTCCCTGTCTTTCTTTTCTTCCCTTTTCATCCACGATCGTGGCTCGGGCCACGGGCCGGGTCGATACCTACTGCCGAATTCGGCAGGGCACCACTGTTTGCCGAGGATCGTGTTTCCATCGTTATATCCCTGCCTACGACCTGTAAAACACGACAATCATCTAACTCATAGACCCCCAAATCCTGGGATTGTTGCGGGAAAAAAATCAACGTCAACATTGTCGCCAGATTTTGTTGGAGATAATATGTCTCATATTTGATCCCTTTGAAATACAGCGACGCCCGTCGCACAATATACATACTTTATTCAACATTCTCAAAAACTGCATCAAATAGAATCGTATAATGACAGAGTTTTTTCCTCAGCTAAAATTGCTTTGGTGGTTGAAAAGCTACAGCAAATAGCCCCAGTTCAGTTGGATGCGTGTTTGAAATCTACTTGCGTTTTACCGTTGCAATGCAAGGTCGTTGAATACAGTCACTTTCTTCTGTGAGAGAAAAAAAATCTGTCTCCTTGACATAAAACAGTTATGAAGGATTTAATGCCGGCGCCTGTTTGGCATGACGGAGATGCAATCATTTCACACCAACACTGCTAGAGAAAGGCCATGTCCAAATCCCTTTGGCTACGTCCAGCAATAACTCACAAGTCTATGTGGAAATAGCCTGAGTCGCAAGGCAGAGTACTCCATAGGCGACTGTGTGATTTCAAGCCGCAGCCGTAACAATATGGGGGAGTGGGCATTTTTTTTCCCGAATGAAGCTACAATTGTTCAGTCGGTAGTGAATAAATTAAACTGTTTGTAATCATTATAATTTTAAAGGCTGCTGTGAAGAGTCAACTTATATAAATTAAAGCTTGCCAATTTCCTCAATTAAATAATTTGTTGCATTAGACATGAAAAATAATGCCAATATCCATATTCATGAATATCAGAAGGTTTGCGGAAACATCGTGTTTGGGTAAAAAGCATTTGACCATAATCGATTTTAAGTTACAACTGCGCAAACAGTCCAAACGTTGGAAGTCACATCAACTTTTTGATATGAAACTGGCAAATCTTGAAACATGAAGTGAAATCGTCCCTTTTTGTAAAGGCCAGATAAGTACCAGATGGTATTCCTTCTGACATGCTGCCAGTATCAGACAAAGATGAGACTTTGATATTTTTTCCGTTGGAAACTATTCCCCAGATTTAGACGTAACACCCCTTCCCCCAAAAGCTGTTCTTTACAATGTAAGATAGTTATGAGAGACGTTCGTGTATTACACAAATCATATAGTAACAATGAAAGTTAACAAATCGACAACAGTCTGCATCTTCGGATTTTTAATTTTTTTTTTACAATCTCATTATAATTGTGTTCTGTGATGTTGTTATTCAACTCTGCATGCAAAGTGCACTTGGGGAGAAATGACAGATTGACAAAAAAACCAAGGTTCCCGTTGAAGCGTGTCGAGTAATTTGAACATGACCCTGCCAAACACGCTGCTGTCCGGGAGCCGCTTCGTGATGTTGCTGGTATAAAAGAACAAAGGACGCAAGCAAGCCTATACTTTTGGAGTCGGGCCATCGCCACAATTCGCATCTCACCTGCTGTTTCAAGTTTGGCGCGAGGCAGACGAGGAACTGAAAACCGCGCATGCACCCGAAAATGGGGTTACCGGTCGATTGTAAACTCGCATACAACACAACCAAGTGAACAAAAAGGTCGGAACATTATGCACGCTTGTTCGCTCCTGGACGGTCATTTAGTTACTTGTGGTTTCTTTGATAGAAGTACTTTGAGTGTTTGGCGGAAGAAAAGGTTCTAGGCTGACAAATTGATTCGATTGTGGAAGGCACAAGCCCGAGTGAAAATGGGTAATGCTA